ACATTTCTGATAAATTAATATACATTAAAGGTGTAACAACAAAGTTACCTTCATTTATCATAAATAAGCTCATATTTCGGAACCAAGATATTTAGTTCATTCCCTGAGCTGGTTGCTATGTAAATATAATGATTTATAAAATACCTGTTAAATCTTGTTATGGTAATACAAGTAGTTTTCAGACCATGAAATACAACATTCCGTACGGAATGTTGTTAACACCTACTAGCCGGAACTACTTTTTATGGGAATCCCCTTGTCATGTCGAACTGAAAAGTTCCTAGTACTTGCAAAATCGAAGAATTGTATCGATCTCTACAAAATACGGAAGGTGTGCTCCGCGCACTCGTGAATATATTCGTCCGCGCAATAAATGAGTGCTTTCTATGAGAAGCTTTATTCTATCACAACCACTATAGGTTTCCTCACCCACGTCTCTTTTGATGAACCTGCTAGGAGTTGGTAGACTTTGTTGGTTACTAACTAATGGTTAACACCCTTGACGTGATCTCGTTGGTCAATTTTTTAAATTATGACGTCATGTAACAATGCCCTGCGACGTTATCTCTCATACGATGTCATGATTCATGGCAATTGTTTCCCCTCATTGATAACAGGCATACTGCATTTCCAAGGGAAAACATGTGGTTTTCAGATAAAATGTGAACGATATGGGAGGACAAGGTTCTAAAACTTGTTATGTCATTCTAACACGATTCGTTGCAACGCGTGTTTTGATTGGATACGGGCCATGTTCTAATCTGCGATAGATGATGATCAGTCGTGTTAAGCTCCTCCCATCGCATTAAAACCACGCCCCGTTTCTAACCAAAATAATATGGCCTCTTAGTGAAATCCCGCTGATAAGGCTAGCAGATAACAGAACAGAAAAGACCGATGAAATGTATTTGTTGAATGAATTAAAAAGTAAAAAGTACACATTCCTTGTTCTTACCTCCATTTATTACTGAAACGTTCGTTCCATCCGTGTGAAGGCATCTACTTAGATCCGAAATCAAATGAAACATTTCACATGTGTCGCAAAAACACAAAACTCTTCACAAGTCTATACAAATAATCGCCGATTTTGTCGATAAGCACAGATTGGTATGCATACTGACATGGAAATATAAGAACTTAGTCAATATTAATCCAAATGTGTCGTATAAACTTTGGTAACAGGACGTTTACGAACAATCGAAATATTCCGCCTCGACAACATACAGATCGAGCGCTCGCCAGAATGGGCGGGGCCAAATGACAGACTTTTGAAGGCTTCTTTCCGATTGATCAGTCCGCTGCAGAATGACACGTCGCCAGTGCAGGTCACAAAGCAATTTACTACGTACTTTTGTTCAAGGAAATACAATGTTTCTAAATATATTAGCGTAGTATATTTGTTAAGGTGTGTTAGAATGGGGATAGTACGTTAATTGATTTTCCAGTTATAAAAGAAACCTCGTGATTTTAATAAAATTCAAAAATTAACAAACTCTGCTATCGATTTCTATCCCTGCTCAAATCTATCTTGACAACTAAATCGTCAATTTCTATGGTTGAAATGCACATCATTATGCTGGTGCTTTGGGATATTAATTGTATGTCGGTTTAATGAAATGTTTTTTTACTTAACATATGTCAAGCCTTATAAAACTTTGGCTTTGTCAAATATTACAGCAGAACAAAATCTGTTCATACCATCTATACACAAACACAGAAACGGAAGTCAAAATCTATACGTAAAATTAAGAACAACAGGAACGAAGTATACGGAAAAACAAAGGGAACGTCAGTTGTCAATCCTTACGATATCTTTGTTCTGTGTAATTTATGTTGAGTATATTCCTCCACAGCTTGACACGTTAACTTGTCCGTGAAATTGAGTAATCGATTTGACCCAGTCCTCTGTAACTTCTTGATATTAATTATGTTCAATTGGCCATGCAATCATTCATTTGAACTTGATACCTACAGTCGGCACGTAATGGATGATAGTACACTAGATGAGAGTGTTGACCCCATGTCTATAACGTACATAAATTTAAAGGAAAGAAGTATATGCATCGCTATGCATTCAGCTTCTTTGCAATGTTTAAATTAATTGGATTTCATTTCCTACCAAATGTTTTACGATACAATTAAGGAACAAGTCAAAATACGTAGAGTTTGAAGGAACTAGGTTATCATTTTATATTCCCATTCTGTTTTCATCTGTATCTATGATGTTTACAGCGATACAAGCAGTGAGAACAATGCTCATCTCTGTTGGTTTCCAGACAGTAACTTTACCTGTATAAAGGTCCCAGGTGCGTCTATCTTGTCCTCTGGTTCAGACAGCTGGCATGCGCTCAATTATCACAAAATGGTAATCAAGAAAAACAATACAATCACTCCTATACTATAGAGACAAATATATTTTAGGAAGATACTTCTTGTTTGTAGAAACGTTAAATATATTTGCATGTGTTTGAGTGTTTTTTTCGACCATTCACATGTTTACGATATACAGAGAAAAAACATAACTTTTTCTGACATGTAAACTTGTGTGATACATGTATCTACCATATTTATATAACAACAATTTAAAATGAACTGATGAATATATTGCTAACAGCAAGTGAATCATAATTTTCATTATAATCTGAAGTTGTCACATTTTTCAGATTATAAACAAGTTAACTTTCGAGAGGTTGGTTCAAAATACAACATACGACATGGAACATTCACATTTTGAATATTGAACTGCTCAACATTCAAAATCTGAATAATGAACATCGTATGTCGAGACATGAGTCATTCAAAATCTGAACCATTGTTCTAGGATATGTTCAATCCCTTTGTTTGTTTGTGACGAAGGTTACAGAGTGCATATCGTAGAAGTCAACGAAACGATACACAACAATTATTTTTGCTTGTTGTGCTTAATTAAACTTCATTCATTCATTCTTTATTACCTTAAACCTTGCGGTTTATCAGTACAGTGCATATATAAAGTGCAAATTATACAGTACATATATATATATATATATATATATAAGAGTACATAGAATACAATCTTCCGACCATGCATATACGATAAACTGGACACAATCTATACTGAAAACCCCAAAGTAGATACCTAAGAATGTGTGCTTCTTCAGATCGTATTTCTAGTGTTGTTATGCTGTTGTTTGGAACGTTTCTGTCCATTTTACCTCTGGTCGTGAACAACTTGAATAACACATTATATAGAGCTGTTGAAATAAGATTATAAACAAAAACAACTTAGGACTATAGAAAATGCAAACTGTATTTAAGGGATTGTGGAAATTGATACCGTATTACACGTTCGTTGTGATATGAAAAGGCAAAGCCTTAAAAAAGCGAAGCTTTTGTTGATCTCTTATATCTACTGATTCAGAATACTACTTTCAGAATGAGATAAAAGAAACCTTATTTAAGGTCGGCTAATTGAGGAATAACAATCAAACATAAGATTTAATGAGAGTAAGACCGACATAATAATAGGGGAGGTCGGGGCAAGTTCGGCCCAGTTTTATTAAAGTCCGTTCTGGGAAGTATGGCTGCACATCCGTTTTTGAACATTAAATAATGTTCCCTGTTTGAAGATCGGATTGTCGAACGAGCCCTGCCATTGGATAAGTTCGGACATGCAGGTATTCGTTTAAGTTCGGCCCCCATTGAATCGGCTTAATTATGACGTCGTAAAGCATGCAAAATAAGATTTTACTGCCAATTTTACGAATTTTTATCTGTTACATGGGCCACGGTATCATTGACCGAACGCGCCCGGGCCCAAATTGATATTTCAATAAATTCTTACCGTACATCAATACGATAGTGAGTGATTGGCTTGGCTTTAATGTATATCATTTGAAGCTGTCAGTGTGTTACATGTTTGACCGTAAAAATAAATATCGATATGTATTTATATCCTGAATTAGTTACATCCTGAAACACCGGATTGAATTTCAAATAATTTTGTAACTGTCACCGAGGTTTGACAGGTAATGATGCCAAATAAAATTAAACAGTTTCTGTCTGTAGCTATTTATAAATCGGCACGCGTTGTGAAAAAAAGTAATACGCCGCTGAAAAGGGGCGTTTAACTCGGGTTGGTTGTCTGGACAATTATTGTTGATTTCCATTGTTTCTTTTATGAGTGGTGATGCATACTTAAATTATGTAAAAACTATAACCATACTTTCAAAAATATTAATTATTTCGTTCATATTCTCAAAAAATTGGAATCAAAAGCTGATGAAAGTCTGCAGTAATAACAAGTATATTTCACTCGTATGGCTAATATTTTGATATTGAAAATATCAAAATATTAGCCACACTCGTGAAATATATTTGTTATTACTGCAGACACCATTATATATCCTCTATGTTATATTTTTTTGGCGTATCAACCCATGTAATATGACCTATCAGCCCTGTGATTGGCTGTAAGTTTCATTTGTTTCAATTGTGACGTCACGCATAGGACAAGTACATAACGTCACAGACTTTCGCACTGGCGTCAAAATGGCGGCTTTTTACATTTCTTGATTATGTAAATGAATTTTTCATTTTAGCTCAGCAGAGGCTCGCTAAATTGAAAAATTCTTAGACTCGCTTCATTAATCTTATATGAAATGGAAACTCGTGTAAGATCCTATATACCACAGCGTGAACCCACAACGACCAGAGTGAAGATCAGCAAAGACTGCACAGCAACCTTTTAAAGCTTGAAAATACCTAAAGAAAAGGAAATGCATCATTAACACTAGATACAACACAAACAAACTATAACTGCTCCTCAATCATCAACATAAAATGGAGATCTACGAAATACTTTGACCTGTTCTCGTCATCCATGACTGCTGTTAAATGCGAAACATCAAAAACAAATAACAATGTTGGGGACATTTGTAAGTTGCAGATCCATCACTGATAAAGGCCACGCCTTTGTCTGCTATTGACCACAACTGTTGTGAGGTTGAATTTTTTAAGACATTCATCAATAACGACAATGTTTACAAGTGTAACGTAAGTCAACAGTATAAAAGAGCATCCTGCACGCATTGAAGCCATTCCTGGAGTCATTTCGACAGCTTCAAAAGGTAGGCTTTACATTGCGTTCTGTATCTGTATTTATTATTCTATATGAACTATTTAGTGACTTCCAGTAATTTGCAGATTTATTAGAGTGTTAATAAATATTGTACACTAATTATTAAATTGTGTTTTACATCTTCAGCTTAAACGTGCTGTATGAGTATTTTTTTTCTGTTGTGGTGATTTTCGGAAGGAATCGCGTGTATCCTATTTAGTATTGCTTTATTAGAAGTTATATATACAAAACGATAAGCATAACATGTATACCTTGAAATACAAATACTGCAGCATATTTCATGAAATATTACGCCATTTGAATATGAATAGGATTGAAATCATGAAGGATGTCATGATTAGGATTTAACACAATACAATCATTTAAAGATGGTTCGGCAACTGATTTCCGGATACAATCCGATTATTTTACTGCTAGTGACATCAATCAAAATAAACAGAATACATTTCATTGAAATAACAAAGTAATTTCTTTCTATTCGCTACCTTATCATATCAATAAAATATGAATCTCTTTAGATTATTCTAATTTGTGTTATCAATGTATTCATATCTGCATTTGACAATGTAACGATTTTGTTCAAAAACGTGTTGTCTGTAGCTGAAATCTTCAACGGAATTTGTATCATGGGTAATCGTTGGTTATCTGTCGTACTTTGTAACGGAAAAAGCGAAACGCATAACGTCCGTTGTCGTCATGGCTACATGTACTCATTTTATGTTGTGTATTGTTTTCACATATTGAACATACATTTCTAAAATGAATAAACATGATTTTGAATATAAAACATACAAACAAAACATGATGAAGTATATAAATCAAATAAGTTGGAATATACATCACGAACATGTTCTTAACATAAATCACAAGATTTCGAATATATATAACATGATTTTGACTATAAAGGTTCTTGCTAATTAAATCACAAAATTAGCATATTTACCCAATATTTCTCATATTTTATTTGCTGTCAAATTAAAAAACTGATCACATGTATGGTAGAAATAATGAAGCATTTGTAAATCAATACGATAGTGTATACATACGAGTATTTTTTTTTTTGTATTTTTTTCAGAACCCTCAAAATGAAGCTTAATCAAGCTGCCTGCTGTATTCTGGTGTTGTGTATTATAACAAGCAATGTCGACGCAAGACTTAGACTGAGTAACCTTTTCAGGCCGAGAAACTTGATAGGAGCAGGTATAGCAACATATGGGATATCTCGTTTGCTTGGAAACAGACATGGTGGGTATAATTACGGATACAACCAGCCGTATAGCTACCCGTCTTTTGGATATCCACAGCCTTATGGATATCCACAGCCTTATGGATATCCACAGCCTTATGGATTTCCCCAGCAGTATGGCGGTTACCAGGGTTCCTTCGGATACGGCGGTACAGATCTCCTAGGATTAGCCGCCATCGGGACTGGAGCCGCTATTGCTCTGTAAGTATTCAAAACAAACCTCCTGTTAAAATATCAACCTTCGGAAAGAAAGGAATTTATTTTCGATGACTCCGTGGGTATTTTTCATCAGCAAAAATGTAGATGCAAACATGTGACGAATGTGTTTTTTAATGAAAAGGTCCAAATATTTGAATGTAAAAACACTAATTGCAGTCCCAAGGAGAGTATGATTGCAAAGTACTAAATGGCATACGGTATTCCAACGTAAGCTAACAGACCAGTACAAATAATGACATTTTGTCACTCAAAGCTCGAACGCTGTATATCAATGAGATGATTTGAGCGGCTCGATAAAACTACTAAAGTTCTTTCATTGTTTTATAAATCTCATATAAACGCATTCTCGTTTGAAGGTTCTACACTTAATGTAAAATATGTGTCAGAGCGGAGTGAAAATGCACGGCCAGACTTGGATTAGAACTGTACCTCCGAATTCTAGACCGACGCTTTAAGCAATATATAATTATTTAGTCGCTGGCGACTGACCAAGTTAAATTTCGTTTAACTTCATTCTTCTCTCCTTTTTCTACGATTTCGCTCCGAAGACAGCATTATTTACAGCCTAGGGTTGGGTATTCTTTGCCAAACATACAGCAGGTATATGTCTTGCCAATTGAGCTACCTGGTTGACCCAGTTCAAGTCCGCTACAGATGTATATATGCTATGAAACACACTTTAGACCGTTTATTTGTGCTATGAAACACACTTTAGACCGTTTATTTGTGCTATGAAACACACTTTTGACCGTTTATTTGTGCTATGAAACACACTTTAGACCGTTTATTTGTGCTATGAAACACACTTTAGACCGTTTATTTGTGCTATGAAACACACTTTAGACCGTTTATTTGCATCTAAAGTTTCTCTCTCGATAGACAATTGCATTGTTCATACACACATACTTGACAATGCATTTACAATGAGGCTTAGTCGTCCCCAGTGTGCAGACAACTCTTTCGTATACAATATACCATAATCGGAAATATCACGTGATAAGCTCATGTGTTCATTCTTCATGTAGGTATGCTATTGATCTCTTAGAATGTTCAAGATATCCATAAAAGCATGTTTATGATTTCGTTTTAATAATTGCAAATTATTCTATTTTTGATATATATGTTTCCATTCACAGGGGCATGGATCGCTTTACTTGTAATATAAAAAAGGGTCTCCTATACTAATATATACAATATTAGTATAGGAGACCCCTTTTTTATATTACAAGTAAAGCGATCCATGCCCCTGTGTTTCCATTCAAAATACTAGATAGTTTCTTGATTCAGAGCCATATATATGTTAAAAAATGGGTTCTCAGTCGTTTTGATATACTAAGAATGCTTTAACATTTGGTATTACTATAATAACTAAAATAATATATATTTCGATTGTTTCAGTTCGTAATGGAGAAGATGTGACCAGTGAATCGTAATCCTTTAACAAACATGACTTTATAATTTGTACACATAAAGCCCTTATGATTTTCTACAAATAAAGCTTTTACGTGAAAAAAATATTGTGTATTTAATTCAATGTTTTATATCTAGACGTCGTATAAAATAGTTGTCGAGTTGATTTTGAAAGAAATAAAAGATATGTCTAGACTCATGTATTATGCATTACTTGTGATGTCTTTACGGAAACTGCCTTCCATCCCGAAATCAATTTTTTTAACAACAATTGCTTCAACAGGGCAACAGTGAATTCAATTCCACCGTTGGAAATTCTTTTTATACCAATGCTTAGTGTCAAAAATGTCTCGAACAGCGTGTGTCATGATTTACTTCCTTTTTTATGTTTAGTAAAGGTCAAATCTCAAGTAATTAAGTATACCTCATTTACAACGTATACAGTCAGCATACAATATACAATTATGAAATATCTAAATTCATGAATTGATAACTGTATCATAGCAATAAGAACCTAAAACACACATCACAAATAAGGAAATATATAATGAAACATTGTTTACATTGGCAGTGGAGCTATAGACAATGTGTTATTAGTAGATAACGTTTGATAATATTAAATTTTCTGCACCACAACAACACCCCTTTCACCTTACCATATGCATGTGTATTGAAATGTCCAAACAAACAATAGTAATTTTACTAATTCAGGCTAAATGAATACATATCATTGAATTATATGGTTCAGGTTTTACAGGAAGGTTAAAAACTATGATCAGTTAATCTATATTTGTATGAGATTCCACATTTGTTTACCTTGTCTAAAGTTCTATTGCCAATTTAAAGGGCAATTACGACACGTATTTCTCGTGTTTAGTTAGTTATGACATTAATCTTCTCATGTATGTCCATGTGCCACCAGGGGATAGTACTTATATAGGCGTTAAGCCTGTTGTCCAATCCTTTTGACATGTTACCATTATATCACCAATACATTTTTTTTAAACAAGGAGCTTCATAGTAGCACACATTTCTTTCTGAACCACATTTGGTTGCGCCTGTCTTGATTACTCTGGTCAAACAAAGGAAATTATTTTTGATATCATGCGTCTTGACAAATAATTGTCGACCCTACAGTTACCTATAATGGGAAAACTAACTATGATGACACAACTGTAAGATCTCTGCGGTTATCAGTCTACATGACTATATATTATCTAGTCCCACCTGAAATAAAAGGAATTTATTCTAAAACAGATAAACGTATTTACCGAGATCTACCGGACAATTCATATGAGTAGCAACTGTATTACATATATGTAATTCTAACTCATTTGAGATGTAACACGGCATTTGATTGGTCAATCAAATTATTTTCGACAGTAAAACCACGATATATCCTTCGCAAACTTTTCATTTGCATTTGAAGCCCAGATGACGATTGTTAATGACGTCGATGACCACGACTGACCATAACACTTCATGAAATTGATTATTCATGACGTCACGAACAATAGCGTGACCCCGAAAGGTCAACGTTATCCCGCCTCACTTTGAATATTTCTGACGTTACCAATCCAAGACCAAGAATTTGAAGAAAACACTCATAAATATCTAAAAATCGTCGTTTCTTTCGGTGGTTTTGGTTAAAATATATCAGAATGGGGATAACAATGCTTATTTTCTGCGTCGCCAGTTAAATGCAATTTGTGACAGTATAATCAAGATATACCGCCGCAAATTTCAAAACACAGTAGGGTTATCCTTTAAGGATCCCCGTCCCTCCGCCTAAAAATGTAATGAGGCATTGGGTATTTTTTCTACGGCATCGCTATTGCATAACCAAATCATTTTTTAACAATAACCCATACCTTGCGGTAGTTTCTTCAGATTTTTTTGGGATATTATGACATTTCGATTTTGTTTTCTTGATATTTTTTTTCAATCGAACAAAATGAAACAAAATACATTTTATTTGATGCAACAATGGTTTATTAGAAATATAACACATAAAAAATATAACAATGTCAATATTGATGAACAAAACACACACAAAAAAGAGTAATTTTCTAACAATAATACAAAAACAAACAAAATTGCCCGTTACATGAATCAATAAAATTCTGAGTGACAATGCAATACGTTTGGGACAACGAAAAGAAAATGTAGGATAGGCAAATATACATGTATTACAATCTCAAGACTAGTACAAATAAATGCGTGTATACTCCAAACATCGGACAAGTAATTAGTATACCTCAGATGTAAGACTTGTATATATAAGACAAATATTATATTAGAATATATAACGCAAACATTGAGTTTTTATACTAATGTACAAAAACAAGTTTATACACAAACTTTACCCTTTACTACATATATGTTACACATAATATTTTGATCAATATTTATGTAGGTCTCAGTATATATCATACAAGGACAACAGTGACTTCAGGCTACTTACATAGTATCATAGACTTGCATATTCTATTACATAATACCATATTACACAGCCCACAGATCATGTGTGTATAAATGCAGATCAGCATGTACATGCATGACTACAGTGTAAGTATAGTGATAGGTGAAGGTCATTGACCATTGAGTAATACCATGATCAGCACATGAAGCCAATCAGAATACAGGAATGTAGATTAAGGCCAAGGTCAATGACCACTGGTCAGCATCAGCATCTTAGCCAATCAAGTTGCAGGAATTTCGCGCGGAAATTAAGACAATTAACATACATAGCGTCACCCAAGTCAGTTTTAAAATTTTCTTGCTGGGTGAAAGACGTACCACCATAAGACAACTCAACTTCATCGAACCGCCACCATCCCCATCCACCAGCCTTTATTCAGATATATACACATTGTATATTATATAAACAAGTTATTTAGGATTTATTGTTCTTCCAAAAGTTACGTACATGTACTTCAAGCATAATATTAGGAGCTGGCATGATATTAGCGAACAGGTCTTAAAGGGCTATCCACTACTCAATAACCCTTTCGGCTTTACGGGCTATTGTTACGTTCTTTGGCCCCAAGTATTATATTACTTACAATTCAAACAGTATACATTTGTAGTATACAATCAGGCTGTTTAAACGACTCACGGCGAAGAAACCCTTGAGACTCACGGCTCTTGGGCTGGTCTGTACAGCTGTCGGACCTGGCAGTCTGGTTGTATCTAAGTGAAGTTGGGGTTCATCGGACCGAGTGTGGCACATGGGTTTTCCCTTGAGACTCACGACTCTTGGGTGACTCACCTATCGAGACTCACGGCTCGAATACACTACAGTTTTACATACTCGGTCTATAATCCCCATGCATACTCCTAGTAATCCAGCCACTAGGACATGAAAGCAACAGGATATAGGTATTGCATAATATCATATAATATCATGTCATTCCCAGTGAGCTGAATTACCGTTAGCTTAAATTATGCCAGCCCCTATTTCAGGCCAAATGTTAAATATTTGTATGTGTTGATGTATTACAATGTTATATAATGATAACAATAGTTTCTTGGATTGACAGAGGGAGTGTTACAGTTGTACTGTATAGGATGACAGAGCAGTGAGTGTGATGAATGTATACATGACCTAATATCGTTTGACATGTTTAAATTCAATTATATGTATAAACTTAAACCACGCCTTTGTTGTTTGTGTATAAATATATATTTATAGATATATCACAAACATCAGATCAGTGAATAAATACCGCAAGCATCGTAACATTAATTTATTCACATCTGCGATATAACGACACTTTTCATTTGTTAATACAATGTATATATGTACTAATTGGACGATTGGACATGCGCATGAATGTTTTTCAAAAAAAACTTGCACGTGCAACCCTGTTTCAAAATTCCCGTTGCCTGGTTGCCCTTGTCGAATGAGGGCACATACATTTATCTGTTTAACTAGGAAAGCAGGAAAACAGACTTTAATATTTTTTCTTATTAGAATAAACATGATCAACGTGTTTTGTGTACCATTGTTGAATAAAGAAATCAGGATTAGAAATTTATGAGAAGATTATTAAGCGCATTTTTTTTAATTTTTCAAACACTTTCTCAGCCACATAGTATGTAATACGTTCCAACATGATTTTTGTTTATTATTTCTTAAAAATATCAAAATGCAGAACCAGTAAATATGTAAGAAACATTAGACCAGTAAACATCCCACAAAGTTAGGACTAGTAAATATATTTATCAAACACAGGACAAGCACTTACAACACAAGCAAATACCACAAACACATGACTACTATATATATATATGTATATAACGATATTTTTTAACTTGATATGATGAAGCACAAATTGTAGCAATGTACAGCTAGAGAGTGTATCATGATAAGTTTCCTTTAAGATGGTTATGTACAAAAACAGTTACAGGACAATTATAACGACGCTGATTCGAATGTACTAAATGTCAATTATAACTCACTGGTAATTGTCATCTAGAAATAACCGGAAACTGTGGTATGATATAGCATCATGTAAAACAAATCATTAATAAAGTAATCCAGTCAATCGTGATATTTGTTTATGTAATGATGTAAATATAATATTTTGACATTTCGAGAACCAGCAACGTCTGTGCAATTACAAATAGGATGACATCGAAACACTTTTTTTTTTAAATCTAATTCGTTTAATAAACTTGCAAAATGTTTACAGTTCCATTTAAGAATCAGAGGTGACTCGCCAACCTTGTCCCCCGTTCCTCGGTAAGGTTTGAGAGGTAAGCAGTTACTATTATAATCTATAGATTCTACCTGTGCAGCAGTTAGTTTTAAACTTTAAAAAACTATTTAAATTGACAGTGCATGATTAATAGAGCAGGTTTATTATATCCTAGACTAGAGATTGGAGTGAAACATAGGTACAAACATTATTTGAACAGGTGTTAAATATGCACACGTTAGCTTACTAGTTTGATTTTTTCATCTTCGAAGTTAAGGCAAACTCAGAAAAAGCAAAGATTATCCTTTGTTATATGAAATTTATAAGAAATTGAATGAAAACAAAACTCGTATTTATTAGCTCTTGTACTTTGCATGACAAAAATCCGTAACTTTGTTTCATATCATGCAGAAAAAAACACCATTAAAGTAATCTGCCCAATAGAAGGAAGCAAGTAAAAACAATTAGTAAATATATATTGTACTTGAGGCCTATGTCTAGTCTATTTCATAATAATATAAATCATTTTTGCCTAGGAACGATGGTCTTACAATTTGTTTTGTTCAATAACTTTGTGTCAAAATGGTCGATGCCTGCTCAAATTTCGTTCTTAATCATTAATTGTCATCATCAGAACATAAACAATCTTTTTCTCTCACTCACTTTTATTTGAAAATAAGCTGTCCAAGGATTGTTGGGTTATCCCATGTAAACGTCGAAATAATGGCTCGTCGGAAGTTGGAAAATATATTCCAGCTAAGTAAAATTATAAACAAATGGTTCAATAATTTTGTAACAGAATACCCTTTTTACCTTAATACATATAATTATTATACAAACCACCCTCATATTTCATTTTTAATAGTTGAAATATATAGTTATATTTTACAGTGGCTTATTTTACCTGCAATCCCCGATCATAAATATAGGTTTGTATATGAAATATAATTGATCATTCTCATACACAAACTTTCAGTAAAATAGCGAATTTAAGAAGAAAAAAAAACTACTTTTCAAGACATGTTTAATTATATCAATCATAAATAACTGCCTTTCTTTTAGGAAGCGTTTATTTTAAACATGAGGTACCTGGTTTTACTTTTACTCGTGGTATGTGTCTTCGTCATGGTCAATGGACAGGGAGGAGGAAGAAATAGAAGAAGGCGTGGTGACGGAGATGGGGACGATGGAGGAAGAAGGAGGGGAATAGGAAGAGGATGGGGATGGGGACAGCGGCGAGGAGGGTTGTTTGGAAGACGGAGAGGAGGGATGTTCGGACGCCGCTTTGGATTAGGACTTTCATTGGGGCTGTTGGGAGGAGGAGGTCTATGGAACCCATATCAACCTCCATTAGGATACTATCCTCCGCCTCTTTCCGGACCAATATATCAGCCTGGCCCATGGTTCTATTAATACCGTAGGTAGTCGAAAAATGTCCAGCAATACGCTGTGCACATTATGCCAAAAAATCACTTTGCAACTTATTATTACACTCTACTCTAGCTTAGTGTTACTCTTAACTTTAGTATTGTTTTTAGTTAAGTATTACTCTTTACGTTAATGTAATATAAATCTTTAGTATAACACATGATTTAAGTATTACACTTCACCTTTGTTTTTTCAACTTACAAAAATATGAAACTTTTGTATCATAATAAACTTATGAATTGCACTGAACTTTACTATAACAATTAATTTTGGTATAAACATTTAACTTTATTATTACACTTCACTTATGTATCACACTTCACTTAAGTATAACACTTACATGTAGCTTAAGTATCACATTTTACTTACGTATAACATTTACATGTAGCTCAGTATTAAACTTTTCTTTAGAATCACACTTCATTTAAGTATTACACTTACATGTAGCTTTAGTATTAAACTTTTCTTTAGAATCACACTTCATTTAAGTGTTACACTTACATGTAGCTCTAGTATTAAACTTTACTTTAGAATCACACTTCATTTAAGTATTACACTTACATTTAGCTTAAGTATCACACTTTACTAAGTATTACACTAATATTTAGCTTTAGTATCACTCTTTACTTCAGTATTACACTAACATTTAGCTTTAGTATCACATTTTACTTACGTATAACACTTACATGTAGCTTTAGTATTAAACTTTACTTTAGAATCACACTTCACTTAAGTATTACACTTACATGTAGCTTTAGTATTACACTGACACTTAATTCTAATATCACACTTTACTTAAGTATTACACTTACATGAAGCTCTAGTATTAAACTTTACTTTAGAATCAGACTTCATTTAAGTATTACACTTACATGTAGCTCTAGTATTAAACTTTACTTTAGAATCACACTTCATTTAAGTATTACACTTACATGTAGCTTTAGTATTAAACTTTTCTTTAGAATCACAGTTCATTTCAGTATTACACTTACATGTAGCTCTAGTATTAAACTTTACTTGAGAATCACACTTCATTTAAGTATTACACTTACACGTAACTTTAGTTTCACACTTCATTTAAGTATTACACTTACACGTAACTTTAGTTTCACACTTCATTTAAGTATTACACTTACATGTACCTTTAGAATCACACTTCATTTAAGTATTACACTTACACGTAACTTTAGTTTCACACTTCATTTAAGTATTACACTTACATGTAACTTAGAATCACACTTCACTGAATATTACACTTACATATAGCTTTAGTATCACACTTTACTTAAATATTACTCTTACATGTAGCTTTAGTATGACACTGACACTTAATTTTAATATCACACTTTACTTAAGTATTACACTTACATATAGCTTTAGCATCGCACTTTACTTAAATATTACTCTTACATGTAGCTTTAGTATGACACTGTCACTTAATTTTAATATCACACTTTACTTAAGTATTACACTTACATGTAGCTTTAGTATTAAACTTTTCTTTAGAAGCACAGTTCATTTCAGTATTACACTTACATTTAGCTCTAGTATTAAACTTTACTTTAGAATCACACTTTACTTAAGTACTACACTTACATGTAGCTCTAGTATTAAGCTTTACTTTAGAATCACACTTCATTTAAGTGTTAAACTTACATGTAGCTTTATAATCACACTTCATTTAAGTATTACACTTACACGTAACTTTAGTTTCACACTTCATTTAAGTATTACACTTACATGTACCTTTAGAATCACACTTCATTTAAGTATTACACTTACATGTAGCTTTAGTATCGCACTTTACTTAAGTATTACACTTACATATAGCTTTATTATCACACTTCACTTAAGTATTACACTTACATATAGCTTTAGTATCGCACTTTACTTAAATATTACTCTTACATGTAGCTTTAGTATGACACTGACACTTAATTTTAATATCACACTTTACTTAAGTATTACACTTACATGTAGCTCTAGTATTAAACTTTACTTTAGAATCACACTTCATTTAAGTGTTAAACTTACATGTAGCTTTATAATCACACTTCATTTAAGTATTACACTTACATGTAGCTCTAGTATTAAACTTTACTTCAGTATCACACTTCACTTAAGTATTACACTTGCATGTAGCTTTAGTACACTATTACATTTACACTTAATTTTAGTATTACTCTTAACTTGAGTAGTACACTTTTACTTAACTTAAGTAATAATTCTTACTTGAGTATTGGTTTTAACTTTAGTATGTCGCTTTAATAACATATTACAATTTATTTCAGCATAACATTTGGTTTGCTTGACTTTACACCTTACTCTAACATCAAAATTTAATCTTTTGTGGAAAAACAGTACCAGGTATAAGATCACAGAGGTCGATATCAATCAACCATTTGATGAAAATGTCAACTATCTATCCATATTTAACAGAATTTGGCGTTTGATATTTGAACGTTTGTTGGCATATCTTTTTAGATGGAAATAAAGCAAGTACTTAGATCGACCAGTGAATATTTAAGTACAGATTGTGTAACGCTTTCACTTAAAAACTTAACAAATGATTTCAACATATCTTGCACCCTTCTTAAATTGAATGCCAATACTATTTAGATTATAAGCACAGTTTACTATCGTTATGATTTAAATATAATAAAACTACTACTATTTTTACCCATCATATATAATATCATTATATCATAAATCCTACATCATACTACACTTACTATTAATATCCAAAAATATAACGATGTAACTATCGCTTAACCCTTTCACCCCTATGTAACTTTAATAGACTCTACCATGCATTGATATGGATGAGTCCATTGTGGTCTACAGTGGTGAAAGGGTTAAGGATCCCCGTACCACTGCTAAAAACTAACACTTATAAGAAACTTATTAGAAACTTTTTTTCTGGCATGGTTTTATCTTTGATAGACTATTTCGGTAAAAAACGCAAACATTACGGGCCTTTGTTGAGAAATAAAAAAGATATATGAACAAAATATACTTCACAACAGTGTTCCGAGTGTACAAAACTAAGCGGTGCTAAACCGGGATTCGAACCCTGGACTTCAGGTTGTTTACTATAGCTCTAACCAAATTAGCTACCTGGTCAGCACAAGTGTCCTGACCCGTTGTGCTACGGTTAATTCCAACCGGAAGTTTAAGGGAGGTTACTGTAAATACTGTAAAAACCAGCAGAGCAGTGGTCGATGTACATGTATCCTTAACCCCGCAACATATTGTTACCGCAAAATCATATTTACAGTCTATCTTGACATGCAGTCAATGACCATTGTTCCTGTAAACATGAGATGACGTGTCATTACCTGATATTAACATTCTGTATGCATGGACCCAATGGCGAAAATGACATTCATTTTTGCATAATACAGGTGACCTCATCACTGCGTATTGATACACTTTAATGACGTAGCACAGGGGCGTAATTGGTACACGTCCGCCGTGAAACAGTCCTCGGTGTAGTTTAGTTATGCTAATATGATGAACATTTAACATGATAGACTTCATTTTAAAGCTCAAATGAGGTGTGTAAGGTACATGCTAATAATATCCAACTTGTGTAAATTCTACAAATTAAATTTTGAAAACGGAACTATATTCTGTTTGTTTTGTTGCCATGCTGTTGCTAGGACCCACTGCAAAAGTTCTACATTTTCCCGCGAAAACACGCTGTTCTCTCTACTGTGTTGCCCCCGTGCATAAATACTGAAAAATGCCGGTTTTAGTTTATTCCTGCTTGCTTCGGAAAATTCAATGCACTTAAACATGTAAATATAAGGAATGAAATTTAACAACATTGGCTTTGTGGACATATTCACCAAGAATCGTTAACGCGATTCATGGAATATGTTTAGACAGCGAATGTTGTCATGACCTCATGAATGTTGAAAACGTAAATTTCATTCCTTAAACCATAGAACGTGACAAGATTGCATGACTTCGGCAACAATACATACATGTAGGACCAAAGTTATGCAATTGATTCGAAAACAACACACAATGGTGTGACGTCATCAATCCGTTACATGTAATATGTTATTAAAGTGAAATAAGTATCCGGTGATCACATAAATATATATATATAATAGTTATGATCAGTTCACAGCTAAAAAACATTATATTTCGGCTAGGTTAAGGTCTTAGAGTTTAGAGCGAGTGTATGTGAATCCTCTCTTACCAATGTATAGTTTACGCCGGGCCCCTGTTAAATAAAGTACATTTTGTGGAAGCAGATTTATCTTTAATCATTTTTTCTTTAATTAAGAAAAAACAACACATGTTTTGAGTGTTTTACCTATAAAACCAATTTGCAATCAGCTGGATATTGCAGGCAAAACACACCATTCTCAAAACGTTTTGGGTATTAAAATAATTTATACCTATACATTTACAAGTATAAACCCATGTTGTTCATTTGATTCGTTGTCTTTTGTGTTTGAGCATATTTGATTTGTGTGCGTATTCATTTCTTGATTTCCATTTGTTCCAGATGGATCACCATCGTAGTGTTGCCGTGTCAGGATTCATCATTACCGTATTTCTATGGAAATAAAATGATAACGTTATGGAAAAACAGATGTTTGATATGTATTTCTTTTCCTGAAGAGTTTTAACCTTTGTACTTTTATTACAAAACAGATACGGAGAGCATCATCAATAATCACAGGAAACATATCTAAGATATTATAAATCGAATTATTTCGATATAATTTCGTTAGCATTTATACAATTTTAACTTAGTTTTTATTTTAACGTCTTGGAAAAAAATGGAGATTTTACCGTTGAGAGCAATAAAAGACAAATATATAAACAACTATACATCCCAAAACCCTGTAGTTTTAATGACTTATGAACGGATTGCACTAGATTATAAATAAACAACTTGTTTTAATGATATTTTATATCATCACGATTACATTTTATATTGCATGCTACTCATATAAATTATATAATTTAAACAACATAACTAGAATACAGCTGTTCAAAACTTCAAGCGTTAAGGTATCGAAATATTAAAATTCATAACTAAATTCGTAAAATTATGGATTTAAAACCATTTTCTGTAGATTACAAACAGAAAATAGTTTTTTATAAGAATAAAAATAATTCTTAGGAACATGGATTTGAAAGATTAAATTGATTTTTTAAGTTGTGAATATTAAAAAATAATTCAGAAAACACCATCTGATTGATGTAAGTAAGATGATGTTTATCAAATATTAATGCTAACTTAAACTAAGTTCACTTTATAACTGGCCACAACATAAATATACATATTGTATACATATATATTGAACGGACAAAATTATTCATTTGAATATGTAAGGGAGATAGACGATTCCGGAAATTCTAAAGTACCTTTGGATTAATTTACATATTGTAACGTTTGAGAGCTGACAAGTTGGCTCAGCAGAAACAACTGTGAACTAGTACTACTGTTAACGTTTTAACCGAGTATGAATAACGTTAGGTATTATTTGTATTTAATTAAAACAATCCAATGAGAATTTAAGAAATGTCTTACTCCTGCTTGTTATGATCTAATTCAACAACATCGTTCAAATATATTTTTTCACATAAATGTTTTATCTGATGATACTGCTCCTCTGTCAAAGCGATCGGCGCGTTTGAATATAATATAATGTTAAAATACTTGTTAAAAACACTTTCCAAATAAGATATGATTCATCATAACCGTTCGCCTCAGGATCTCCGTCCATGTTGTGTGACCCAATCTGTCATACTGTAACATAAACCGGTGAAACATCTCACTCATATAGAGTGAATAATTTTAAATACATCACTGGTTAAAATGTAATAAATCGACTTATCATACTCCGCAATATATAGGTAATATACATGTCAGAGAAACATATTATAATATGTGTGAAAAAAATGGAACCCTAATTGTTCTTGTCACCGTACATTCTCTAAATTCCAGAAATTAACCTAACTTACGTTCTCTGAGCACTTGGTTTATGTCATAGCAAGTTCAATGGCAATCGGTAAGCAATATGATTGCTTTCTTGTAAAAAAAAAAAAAAAAAAAAAAAAAAAAAGNTAGGACGATACATATCGTATCCTAGAAGATAACAGAGACGGTGCAGACAATGTAGTGAGCTTAACGGCTGGAATTACGAGGACAGTCACCATGCTTAACTCATCTATGACCATGATTATACATTTATATTGTAAGACTGAAGCGGTAAGAGGAATGGCGACACTTTAGGCACACTTTCTTGGTCAAATACCTCGTAATGAAGTAAACTTCAGTGCTTAAAGGAAATTATTTTTATATACTATAATTATGAATGCATCAAAACGAATAGTGATCAATTTTAAAACGTCATTGCCAGGTAATTTATGTACCTTTAAACATATAAATAAAGAAAGATATTTAAATTCACGTACAATTCGGATATATTATTCATCATATTTTGCGTAAATGTAAAAATTGGCAAACATTTCGCGTGATCTATCTACCTAATTAGCACATATTAGCGAAAAGGACAACGCCTTTCTTCTAATAAAATAAGGGTTAACAAACCTCATCCCTAGTGTAAGGTCGAACATCTAGCTGAAGTAAGGACATCATCGTACAGACTACAGATATAAGGTATGTGATCCCATTACCATCCACAGTGTAGATTAGGTCGATAAATTCTTAATTTCAGACCAAGAAAAAACTTTAACACTTTTGAAATATACATCAGAGGTGACTGAAATCATCTTTTACTTACAAGCAATAATTGTTACGTAAATGTAGGATCTTAAATAAGTAATAAAATCTTAAACTCGTCTCGAAGTTTTAATTTTTGCTCGCCAAGGCTCGCAAAAATAAAAACTCCTAAGACTCGTTTCATAAAATCTAATATGAAATGGGGAAAAAAAAGATACCTTTTATCACACAATCGATTTCTGACCGGCACAGCCAATGACAAACGATCTATGGTATAATGTACTGTATTACACTAGTGACATATGTAAAAATATTACACGGTCGAATTCACTGGATAACAGACCGATTATGTGATAAATATGTTTTTAAAAAGATAGATAACAGCGTCGGCGCAATGTCAAAGTTCTTCAAAGTCAATAGTCATGAACAAAATATAACACAACGACAACATACAAAGAAAAATCGTGACCATACAATTTACAAACCATTGAATATCATCGAACCACAAGGATAAAATGATACAAAGTTTCACCATACAGGGACAAAATAGCCGCGTCGTCGACATACAGGGAGAGAATATACCACAGCGAGAGCACAACATTTCAAATTATACCGTAGCGTCTACATATTGGAACACATACAAGGAAACAATTACCACAGCGTCAACACACACACAAAAATACAGCCTCAGAATTTAAAGAAAAAAATATGTCCATAACGTCAAAATACAGAAACCCAACTTGCCACAAGTGTCAACGTACACAAAAAAAATATACCACAGCGTCAATACAAAAGGACAAAATCACCACAGCGTCTAAATACAGGAACACAATTATCACAAGTGTCATCGTTAACGAAAAAAGCATACATGTACATTGTATCACAGCGTCAATGCCCAAGGACCACGGCATCCGTTCATCGTCTACACATGATGCGCACAACTGTGCGATTTACTATATATGTTCGCCCCGTTGTGCGCTTCCTCTGCACAAATGTGCAATTGGTTGCAATTGGTTGATCAATATTACGGAATGAAATTAATCCGAAAGGCTCGTATGGAATAAGGAACACTGTATATGTAAATTTCTCTTCATATCAATTAAGATTACGTTCAATTTTACAATGAATAATCAATAATCACAGTGACTGTTAGACTGTCAAGGTAAATAACATTTTGATGAGTGACCAAAACTTTACCTGGCGCCCTGTGCCTGACATAGAGAGTCGGTACATGATACCGTATATCTGTTATGGAAACAGTACAGGACGTTAAATATTTGTATTTGCATTCGTTATGGTCTATAGCTCCAATTCACCTGGATTTTTACACCTGACGAGTTACGCAAGTGCCCCGGGTGGAGAAAACTACGGTTCACGTACAAAGTTGATATGTTAACCTATATAAAGGACCGTGTTCATCAGTGTTATACTTTAACGTGTTGATTTTGGCCTTTTAAAAAAACACCGAAACACCATTTATGAATTTAAGAACATTTGCAAAGATCAACTTTTATAAGCAGCTAGAACATAGAAACATAGCTAGAACATAGAAACATATTTAACAAATCAGGTTTATAAGTTTTAACACGAAAACGTTTATGTTCTTAAGCCGTTTCTCAATCTACACCAACCACGATTGTCATCGCACAACGTTCGTCCATCGTCTGCACAAATATATGCAAGCGATAATCGTCCAGATATGTATCGTTCGGACATGTACATCGCGCAAATACCGTGCGCACATCGTGTAACATTGTGCGATCCCACGACTGTACAAGGACAAAATAGACCACACCCTCAACACACAAAGCCAAACAAACCACAGGGTCAACATACCGGGACGCAATGACCACAACGTCAACACATAAGGACAAAATATACCACAACGTCAACACATAAGGACAAAATATACCACAACGTCAACACATAAGGACAAAATATACCACAACGTCAACACACAAAGCCAAAACAAACCACAGCGTCAACATACCGGGGAAGATAAAAACACGACATAATATCAATACAAATGATGTTCAATCATCATATTCAGTTGTTCGTTAACTCTTATAGCCATACACGACGCGAGAAGTCATACACTTCAGCTTTACAGCTCCCTTTTAAAGTCCATAAAGATAAATTGATAATGGAAACAAAAGTATCTTAGCTAAGTAAATCATTAAATTTACCGTTTTTTGCTTCTTTTCTTAAATGATGATTATCAGTTTAAAATTTGAAGTAATAAGTATGTTGAACATTATATTATTTAAAGTGTATATCAGTTTAAAGGCAAATGTTTTGCCCTTTTAGAAGACGTTACAATTTTTTTTATATTTCTTTTCATAATTGCAGACAGTTTTGTATTTGCACATGACGTGATGTTCGTATAGACTATAAAGTCACATCAACTGAAACTTCAATAAAGTAGATTTACATTTTGAGCGTTACGAAAGATCATAATATGCTTTTGATAATAGTGAAAATGAAAATAACTTCATAGTATTTTCATTCTCTAGTGATTTTTGAAACAACAAATACAAGCTGCATAAACAATTTATAAAAAATAATTATAAATAAGTGATTGAATGAACATTTAAGTTCTTATTTGTTCTTAGTTTGTGTAAATTTTACCTAATATATGTATCACCTTTTAAACATGTTTCTGGCAATCTGTTAATACTGCAGTGAAATCAATATCTAACAAAATTCTATTGCCATTTTAACGAAGAAGGAATTCTACCTTTGATAAAAATATCTAAATTGAATGTGGACACATTAAAACAAAACGATATTGTCTTTGTATATTTCAGCGGAACACAATGATGAAACGAGCATTGATATTGATTCTGGTCCTGTCTCTGTTGGTACAATGTGTTGTTCCGCAGACCGCAGAGAACCGACTCCGACGTCGTATTTTACGTAGAAGGCTTGCGAGACGTGCATTCTTTAGGAGAGGACCATTTGGACCCTTTTTTCCAGGATTCTTTCCTTTTCGACCAATATTCCGTCCATTTTTCCCCCGGTTTATAATTTAGGTTGAGGTAATTATAGTCTTGGTTTAACGCCTTGTTTAAGATTTTCAATAATTTGTTCTAAAAGAAATGCTCTCATATAGTTCAATCCTCCATCAAATTGTACTTAATGAGTTTTCGTAAAAGTCTAGTTTTAAACAATTTACAGTTTACACCTTCGTAGAAATGGTTAGTGTTAACTTTTCTTACTGATATAAACTATATGAAATAAAAACAGGTTTGACATGTTTGTGTAGTAAACTGATCGTTCAATTTTATATGTAACTTTTAAGTATTTTTTTGTTTATTTCAGATATATTTGTACATGGATGATCACTATAGTGGGTTGAGATGTCATCTTACCAGGGTGTAACTAGAATACTTTGGTGTTTATCATGAACATGTATTCTTTTAAAACATTAAAAACGTTAAAGCCATTTTTCACATAGTGGTTTTGTAAAATTACAACATCGGCATCTTCTTCAAAATTAAACAATACGACCAAGTTTGATTGTTTTTGTCATCTTTGGTGAAATTTAATATAATGAGTATTCTTCTCCGAACATGCAAACAATATACACATTTTTTTTAATGTCTTATTATTTCCGATATAAAACCTTGTTTATCATCAATTGAAGTTTAGCTTTAATGTGCATATATTCCTCCAACTTCTACGTATACATATGCAAGACCATACACTTTTGTTATTCTAACGAATCAAAAAGTGCAATTTTATTGCGCGGACGAATATATACGTCCGCACAACAAATGAGTGCTTTCTGATTCGTTAAAAAAACACAAGTGTGTGGTCTTGCTTTTATCACATACCTTCCGTATTTGGTAGAGATCGATACAAAGATTTTATAAACTTTGATAGTTTTTGCAAATACCGGGAACAGTTCGCCATGACAAGGGGATTCCCATAAAAATTAGCCCATACATGTCTACTCAGAAACATTAACTATCATGACGTCATAAACAAATGACGACATTAATACATCTCGTGACCAACAGCCCAGGAAAATGCGTTACCATGAGGACAGACACTTTTCAACAGATGGAATACAGGATAAACATAGGTACCGCCAGTGAGGACTCAATAATTACAGGAGGAACCAAACCCCTAAATGGACTGACTCCACGGAACGAAACATCTGGAGATAGGAAGCACAGGGGTCGTGGGACAAGGTGCATATCGGTTTCCTCAAAGTAGGTCGATAGGCTATCGGACAAGATGTGAAAGGTTCTCAGAACTCGCTCTTTAGAGAAACCGAAGTTAAATCTCTTAATTTTGATATGTTCGGTTGCCCTGAAACTTGTTGGAGATATAAAATATAAACACAATTTGTAGGGTACAGATGTATGCATATAAACAGAATAACCAGTTACAATGTCGGAAAAGGCAGTAGTGGTACGGTATGTATTTTTATAAAAGATTATTTTTACCAACAATATAAATGCGTTACCCTTGATGACTCGTGTGAAGATTGTAGATGGGTAACGTTTAATTATGACAACGGTGAAGTATTTTTTAATTTGTATATTTTATCTCCCTCCTTAAAGATACCTCACGAGCTTCTATTTTGTTTTATCATAATATATTGTTCTATAGAGAGGAAGTGAACAAAGTCTCTAAAAATTACTGGCAAATGCAGGTTACTAAGATGTTCTTTCTTCAAGAGTAGATAGCTAAATGAGACGCATTAAATCTTGTCCGGTATATATATGGCACGAGAACTCGTAACAGATAGTGATCATGAGCGTTCGTGTAAAAAAAACACGTAACTACTCGCATTTACTCGCATCTTCTGGTATCAACTCCTATCTGCTCGTGAATTATTCGTGTCAGGTCTTGAGCAATGGGACCCGACAGAGCCTAACAGATCGTGACAGATCGTGGGGGATTGCAATAATACATCTCAGCGGAGCGTGGTGTTTGTCTTGTCTAAGATCGATCTCGATCACCACGATTTGGAAGCACGATCAGATGCGATCTGTCGCGCTTTGTCACGATGCAATACGATCTGATACGATGATCCCGATTGACAATTGATCGTGTTGACCGTAGAAAAAGAAAGAACCGTTCAAAAAGTTTCTACGATTTACACGATTGCCAGGACTGACCTCAAGATCCGATAAGATCTGATAGGATCACTACGATTATTCCACGATTAAGACCACGACTTCAATCGTGCCGCAAATCGTGATACTGGGAACCTAGCATAATGATCATGATTATCAGCTACTTGATTCCTTCTCTGATACCTAACTTTTGAATTGCTAACGATAGAACAGGTAGCCAAAACTTTACCCAAGTTTCATCAAAAGGAAAGTCTGTAGTTGATTATTTACTTAAACCCATTAAGAACGATTCAATACTAAAATTATTCCAGATAATTTTAAGAAAGATGCTGAAGCAATGAGAACATTTTTAACGACTATTAACGTAATAGAACATGACTTAGAGGTCTCTTCGGATGTTACCAGGCATACAGTCGCTTTACCAAGTTAATTGAAAGAGAAATGGAGGCTAAGGTACAAAAATTGAACTTTAGAAATAGTACGAATACACTTCGACGTAAACCGTATTGGAATGACGAGTTACATAACTTTGTTCACAAGCGTAATGAGAGTGAAAGGTTATGGTTAAAGTGTAACGGTCATGTAGGTTTAAAGCGAACCACTAAGGTCGCAATACATCAACAATCGTAAACTTTTTTTTCAAAAAATACTTCGACGCGATTAACGACAATATGAAAAAATCAAACAAGACGAACTGCTTGCCATGTGTAATAATTCCCCTTACGAATATTGGAATAAGATAAAGCCAGATATGTATGCTTAAGGACAGACTGAACACCATACCATTTACAACAAGAGATGCAACTGGTAATATTACGAAAAACTCGAGTGAATCTCTAACGTTATGGTACGACTCCTTCCAGAACCTTCAAAGCTCTTGACATGACAGACGTTACTGATAAAAAAAGGAGACATAAATAAATTGCTGGTACCCAAACTTGATATTGACAGCAATCTATTGAATTAACCGATATCACGTCAAGAGTTTAAAGATTCGGTTTATCGTGCCAAGTTAAACAAAGCGGTTGGTATTGACAATATACAGAGCAATGTCCTCAGAAACCCAGCATGTATTGACCTCTTACATACTAATATTCCTAATTGTTTTGATTATGGTAGAGTTTTGGATAGGCTGACTCAAAGTAGTGTTAACCCTTTTCTAAAAGCAGGAAAGGATCCACTAAACCCAGCTAGCTATAGAAGAAATGAACTTATGTCTATCCAATGTAAGCTTCAAGCCAACGTTTTAAATCATCGGTTATCGAAATGGTTAGAAACAAAACAATTACTTGCAGATTAATAGAACGTTTTTAGAAAGAACAGAAGTTATTATTTAGACCACCAGCATATATTGTACTCTGCTTTTAATTACAGAAAAATCAAGAAAAAATCTACTATTGTATGTTTTGTTGATGAGCAGAGATCGTTTATGGGCTAAGCTAGAACATTTTGGTATAAATAGATATATTTTTTAAATGCTATCAAATCATTATAATTTAACTATGAATGTAGTATTAGAACAAATCCTGTTTTAACGCATCACATGTATATGCAAAAAGGTCAAAAACAAGGTTGTAATGCCTCGCCAACAATGTTTTCAATGTACTTGGAAAGGAACATTTGGATTTGCATTTTGCTGTCAGAGAACTCTGTTTATCTGCTAGTAGAACACTTACAACGTTATATGCGAAATATTCACATGCCGGTGAAATATTATATGAAGTGTTTACATGTAACAAGTTATATTAAACTTTAATTGTACCGGTACGTTTATGGATGTGGATTATGGGGTATAAATTAACACCGAGAGGTTTCCGTCATACTACACAAGGAAAGTAAATATTTTCTAGGAGCCTCCCGTCGAGCAAGTAACTTATCACTCAGAGGTGATATGGGATGGCACTCTTGCAATGTAAGTAAAGTTTTAGAAACAATACGTTGATTTTTTAAGAATTACATAATTGTAAGTATTGTGATGATAACAGACTCATGAAAAAGTGCATATATGGTCCGTAAGTCTGAAAAAATCTTGGGATTCTAGAATTTTGAAAACTAAATTATTTCATATGCTGATGAATGGTACGGGTCTATATGGAATGATAGTAATATTATAAATGGTAACAAATTAAGAACTTACAGAACTTTTAAATCAAAGCTAATTCCGTCTTTGCGTATTGCAGAGTTATCTTCTCTTGAGAACAGGTATTGATTGTGACGTCATTTGTTTGTGAGAGTAACGTCATCAATTTTTTAAAAAACGACGAAATTTTCTCAACCAAACCAATGACGTAACAATCAATACCTGCTCTCAAGAGAAGATAACTCTGCAATACGCAAAGACGGAATATCAGATACATATGTCAGGCTCGTTAGACAAAAGAGCAAACGACGATTAAATTTTGATTTTATATGTGATTCTCTACCTCTAACAATGGAAAAGAGCAGATATACGTCAAACCTGTGATTTCACTTGAGGAACGCTTATGTAAGACATGTACAAATGTAAATAATTGTATAGAGGATGAATTACACTTTTTAATTGAATGTAATGTATATAATGACATCAGATCATCTTTATTTAATGTAGCAAATACCATCAGAAATGATTTTGCAAGGGGAGGGGTGTCAATTTGGGCCTTCTGGTCCCAAACTTTACCCCCTCATATCTCGGAATGGTCTCCAAGCTGACCTTAATTTCGTGTCCTTTTTTTATATATATATATATATACAGTATACACAAACAAAAAAATCGATGATAACCACCTTAAGGCCCAAATTGGCACCCTCCTTTAATTTTATAATGTCTTCCGGGGGAAGTATACATTTCATTTGCAAACCACTTGTAAAATATGTACAGAAAACATAGCAGTCTTTGTGATTAATCATAATTTTCAACAGTGTCTTGTAAACCATTTTCGGCTGAATATTACATACAATTACATTTTTTTTATTTCATGCATCATTTGTTAAAAATGATACCAGGGATCAATCATTAAGACAGTACACGATTGATCCCTGCTATGTATCTATATATTTTTATTCTGTGTAACTATATACGTGTACGATGTAACTATGATCTATGACTTGACTTGACTCTATACCGACTGGTCCCTTTGTCAAATTATGATAATAATAATAATAATAATATACAACATTTGATATAGCGCCCTATCTAGCTAACATAAGCCACTCTAAAGCGATTTACAGTACATAGATACATTGACGGTGGCCAAGTGATTAAGGCGTCTGACATTCTGCTACCACTAGCCCTCCACCACTGGGTCGTCGTGGGTTTGAGGCCTACGTGGGGCAGTCGGTAGACACTTCCTGTAGGACGGTGGTTTTTCTCCGGGAACTCCGGCTTTCCTCCGCCACCAAAACTTGGCACGTCCTTAAATGGCCATAGCTGTCATTAGGACGTAAAACACAAACAAACCAAACCAATCAGACTTTGACACAGTGAGTGATTTGTGTTGTTTACCTGTACAATGATGTGACGAAATTGTATGTTCCGCCTATTAATACAGAGAGTACTGTAGCGTTGCGATAGTCCAATACGTACACTGTTTGTGTATAAAGTCAAACTTTGAAATAACATATTTTTTAAACTGATGAATCGTATTGCAGATACAAGCATTTAATGTTTAACAATGAAATATACTACAATGTAGTAAGTAAATCAAGACACATTAGATAACAGTTTGAGATAATCACAACTTGGTATGATATGTACTTGTCAATATCACCATTGGTACTACAAGCATAATGTAATGTAATCCATCATCACGTTAAGTATAATTATTTCGCAATATTTGCACGATACCATAACAATTTCTAAAGTAAAATGACACATTGTAATGACATTTTATCTTTGCGTGCTATGATTATAAAGAAAGGTTAATGACCATTTAATGAGGTCATAAAATCAGAAAGCAGACATGATTTAGTGAAGACCTAGTAACGCTGAGCAGAGATGAAAAAAGAAAACAAATAAATGTCATTTTTTGTTGATTTACTTTGATATAAGAAAGGCGTGGAAAAAAGACAGATTATTGTTTTTTGTAATCTTTTTTGTTTTGTAATTAATAAGTTTAACATATTTATGTCATTAACATGTACTCATTTGTAGGGAGGTGAGGTGTGAAACTATGGGACGTTTTGGTATATAATACGGTCAGTTCTGATATCAAACCATTACCCTGGTGAGAGCTGACCTGGCAGCTACACAGGTACGGTAACGATGTTTTATTCTTGGTACATAAATAATTTTGAAGTACAGTCAAACTATATATTTATATAGAGCCAACAAGGCATTGTTTAAAAACGAACGATAGTTGTAGAATGAAACTTGCATCCTGTTTTAACAATTATGAGATTAAGGAGGTAAGGAAGTACCTTTTTAAGATTCTTTAGTTTATCGATGCAGAAAACCCAAAAAAGTAAAAATCTTTTGAGATATCGTTATCATGAAAATGGATACCACATCAAACTTCAAAATCCTAACATTAATTACTATTCTTTTTAATATAGTTGAAATTCCTTGACGAACAAAAAAATGTATTTTAACTTTTCGACAAATAGTACCATATACTCATATCATTTTCAAATTCATGTCACGTTATTTGATGTATACAGAACCTAAAAAAACAAACTTGAAAATGTTTATGATACGGCTTATAATAAGCAATTTTGAGAACATGCAAATGAAAAATGTTTCATTATTTTAGGTTTTAAAGGAACATTCCATACGAATCATGAGGACTCTGTTTGTGCTCGTCCTTGTTTTCTGTTTATTGTCCGGGGTCGATGGTCAAAGGTTTGGCCGACGGGGAAGACGGAGGAGGGGGGGACGTCTCGGTGGACTCGGTCTAGGACTAACGCTTGGTTTACTCGGGAGCGGCTTAAGTCCATATGGTGGATATGGTGGATTTAGTCCATATGGTGGATTTGGTGGATATGGTGGATTTAGTCCATATGGTGGATTTGGTGGATATGGATTCGGTGGTTACAGACCATATGGCTTATTCGGTGGTGGTTATAGACGCTTCGGATTGCTTGGATGGTACGTATTTAAATCCATTGATAGTAATAAAAAAAAGTATATGTACATTTCTTATTTAAAGTAAGCATTCATTTCAAATGTGATGTGTTACCATATCAAAAAAGGTATGTTCCATGTATATGAGTTTCAACATTTTGGGCCCCAACATCACCAATAAGTCCTAGAAGAACGAAACAGTTGCATGGTGCAGTGTTATTCAATTTTGGCATGCTGCATCTATTTTAATATACAAGTTTTTAAAATGCAATTTCATGTGTGTGTGTCACGTTCCTTTTTCTGTTTGAAATGATTTTGAATAGGTTACTGTCGTTTGTGACCTTTTTGGGATGTATATCTTGTTAAAAAATGTATTTTGATCGTTCATGATCATTTTCAAGCGTTTAGTAACTTGTTCAAGGTACCAAAGTCGTGCATCATGTTAGATGACAATTATCCTACATGAAAAAAAATAGTATCTAAGAATTCCGGATATGTAAATCTTATTTTTGTATTTCATTTTCAGAATCAACGTGTATGGTTTGTCAAAGAAAATCCATTTTATTGATGTTTTCCGATAATCAAAGTGGTGTATGACGACATAAAAAGCTTCGTGTAATGTCATTTTTGTCTTTTCCTCATTTCATGTAACGCTTTATCGCAAAGTCATTATTATCATCATTAAATATCTAAACATTCATAGTTTCCTTGTTGTTATTTGATTGTTAGATACTGCGTGCTACGAATACATTACAGATCATTAGCAGTAGTTCCCAAGACTCAGTTGAGTCAGCATCGTTTGCCTCATACCAAGTTCAAGTTCAAGTTCTTTATTACCTTGGGCTTTTGACCCATCGGTTTCAAAAGTGAGATATACCAGAATTGCAGGATTAACAGTATAGTAATATGTAAACAAATTTATGCGTATGCTACCTATAAATCAATAGGCTGAATATCTGGATATAAATAAGTTATTTTAAAATTTAAATGATTAAAGAAAGGGCATTTTTATTTATTCAAATTTAAAATATGATTATTAGCGAATGGAGAATACGTGGTTGGGGTCTAAACATGATTGTTTCATAGTCTTTATGTCATGAGTTCAAATAAATAATGTATTTCAAAACAAAGGTCATCGATTAAATTTAGGATTCAACCCTTTACTTCATCACACTAGCATAAATAATTTATTGCGCCGACCATCTTTAAGGATTCGTTTAAACATTTCCATATATAATATTAAAACGTTATAACGTTAAAAAAAGATTACAGTTTCCATCTTGGTACAAATCATTATCACGATATTAGGATCGTTAAAATAGCTCTCCATTGATTTTGGTTTGCTTTTCTCTCCTGTTGCTTATTTCGGAAAGGAAATATCACTTCGCTTTGTTATAATATTTATCTACAGGATCAGGACTCCAAAACTGGCTACTCACTTGTTGTTAGCTCTTTCCCAACCAACAGCTGATACGTGTTACATGCCTGACCATAACGTAGATGTCATTTCTGACTAAAAGATAATACATATTGCACGTACATGTACATTGCTGACCACGAAATGGTCATTTGTATAATGTGATATGGATATGATGCATAACTTAGGACATATTTCATATCTTCAGCACTTATTGCAATGTATTTTGTACACAAATTCCCGCCGACACGTGATTGTTGGTTTCACATCCTCGACCGGATTTTAAGCGAAAAAAGGTACAGATCATCGATTTCAATATTTACAACGATCATGTATATTGATTCATAAACGATTTCCATATACTAACAATAAAAATCGATCATATTCCATTATTTTAATTATTCAAGCAAGGATGGATTTGACCAATATGGTTACTATATGAAAATAGACGAATGAAGTAACGGTGGAGTTTTCATTTCCGTACGTGTGCGATTTGACCTTTATAATAAAGAGGTACACAAATTTGTTCATGTCAGTTTTACAAGGGTCGCTAGCTCATGAGAGTGAAGACAGTGAGGAAATTGAAGACTGTCAATATAATATATACTAGGCCATCTCAAAGATGTTTGTGTGATGAATAACTAAATTTGTATATACAGTATAACCTGTCTGAACCGGATGTCACCGGGACCATACTATTTGTCCGGTTTACACAGGTGTCTGGTTTATACAGGGTCGGCATGTCATTTTTTGAAAATGCAAAAATGTAGTGTTTTGCATACGATCTGTATACAAGTGTGTCAACATAAACAACAGAGAAATGAATCAATTGGAACGTTTAATTATTTACTAAATAAACAGTATATAATACAAATGAAGGGCGACCCAACATTGGATAGCGCTTATTTGTTAAGAATGTGTTTGCTTTAGATTGTAGCCGACCGAGAGAAATTTCAGGACCGGAATGAACTGGTTTTTTTTACATGGATTAAAATGCCAACTTTTGTGAAACAACGCCGGTTTTCGGAATGGACAGGGTCCGGTTTATACAGGGTTTAGCTACTATGATTATATAGGGAATATGCCGGGACCAAAACTCACAGCCGTTTAAGACATGGATCCGGCTAAGACAGGGGCCGGTTTAGACAGGTTATACTGTACGAGTATGAACTATATTTTATGACGAAAATAAAGTATGGCTGACCTCAAAATGCAGATGTAAATGCAGGACAAATTACACTGTTGGAATAATGAGCAGGTAATCAGCAAAGGACTATATCACAAAGATAAACAATGATAGTATAAACCGATGTACTTATATGGAAATTTCACTCCATTCATTAAAATAAATTTTATTTTACTACCGATATTATTAAGAATAATGTTTCCTAAAAAAAATGTACGAAGTTTAATTGCGTTAAAGTAATTAATATGAGATGAAATTTCTGCTCAAATGCATTGCAAATTCTTTTCAAATATATTCATCGTATGCTATATTTCATTGTTGTTAGTATTGATATTAGATTGCGGCGCTCCATTAATTAACCCGTTGTCTTACTATCTTTAACACGAATGATGCGACAATCCGACAGTTTCGCAATCTAATTGAAACAAATACATATATATACATGTATATATAGTCTCATAAATAATACCCACAGTATAATCCAATATGGGCACTGGATCCGAACAAACATATGTTCGTTGGATACGTATTATTTAAATAGATGTGGGTAAATATATATGTATATCCAGTTTTACAGTGATATGTCATAATCTAGCGGTACTTGTTCATTTTCAATTACTTCTTCGGCTGATCCGAGATCGTTTAATCGTACATTCTGCTTAAAATATCGTCAAACAGTACATAGAAAGTTGTTTTCTGTGATGTATTGCAAATTATTTGTTTAGCATTACATAAATAAATGTTTATTGCAAGATTCATCCGGTCACTGCTATATAAAATGCTGACATTCTGCCAGGTTGGTCACTGGTGACGTTGGTGATATGAGAGTTACTTCCCCTTGTTCACTACTGTGGTGAACAAGTTGTCGTAAACCTGGCTGAGCCGGTTAACCCCCTGGTTTCTTCATAACGGGCCATTGTTTTCAAATCTGGATGGCCTCCTTCACCTGCCGCACTCGCTGGTTACTCTCTTTGTCCACGATCTTAGCCTGCTCCCAGTCTATAACATGATGATCTTTGTTGACGTGGTCCGTTATGGCACTCTCGTGCATGTCTCTTTCCGATGTTTTTCTCTCTGACCTAGTTCAGTTCCTATTGTTACCAGTGGACTCAGCTTCCTTTCGATGTTCTTTCTAACGTGCTCCGAACTTCCGTCCAGTTTCCCCTATGTAGACCGAATCGCAGTTCTTGCATCCAATTTTGTACTCGCAGTTGCAAGTATCGTTGATGGTAAATTTGTCCTACGGGTGTAGAAGATATATCCTGATGGTCTGGAGTAGTCTCATGCTGGTCGTGATTCGGTGTTTCTTGAATATCCGTTGTATGGTATGATGTTCCTTTGACGAATGGAATAACTACGTTTCCCCTGGTCTTCTCTTCTGTCTGTTGTTTCTTCTTTTTCTTCTCTTTCATCGTCGATTTGTTCTTGATCTTGTCTTTCACGGTCTTAATGGTCCATTTAGGGTTTCCACATTTCTTGAGCGCTGTTGTAATGTGCTGCTCCTCCCTGATCTTGTCTTCCGGTTCTGTGACCACATTTTTGCATCGGTCAAGCAGCGTCCTTACTACTTCCAACTTATGGTGTAAATTAACCTTTTCAGTGCTAAATAAATATTGTCATTCTGTTAAAAAGAAAATGAAAGAGCGAAATACTGTAAACCGGAAAACTTTCGCTGATGTTGAACATTCGCCTGTATTTTCCCTATATAATGAAGGCGAATGTATCATGGCAGCTAATATTAGCACTCGCCATAATATACAAACTCATTACACGAAAAGGGAGAAAACAACACTGGGCAAATATGGGTTTTACCAGCGAAGGGCGAAATTTGACTGGTTGAAAGTTTCCCAGTCATTTAACACTAGCTCATAATAATTTTCAATCACCATTACGTACACATTATTTGTTAATTTAATTTCTAAATACCGCATTGATTCTACCGACAATAGAACATACAAAGCGACACCATTTGAGCAACATAACTTGTATATATATATATATATATACATATTGACAACTCTGATAGTAACAATTATATTAAGCGTTTTAATTTAAACCAATTACATGTTAAAGAGTGTTAAGAATGGGAAAAATTATAATGAATTCGTGTCACTCCTTTTGTAAGTTTGCAGTTATAAAAAAAGCTTGATGGCGTTTGTGCAAAAACAGCATTAAATGCAACGCAAATTTCAATATATACCTCTTAAGAAACAACAATAAATGTGGATACTAAAACACAACAATAACTGTGGATACTAAAACACAACAATAACTGTGGATACTAAAACACAACAATAACTGTGGATACTAAAACAAAACAATAACAGCGGATACTAAAACACAACAATAACTGTGGATATTAAAAAACAACAATAACAATGGATACTAAAACACAACAATAACTGTGGATACTAAAAAACAACAATAACAGTGGATTCTAAAACACAACAATAACTGTGGATACTAAAACAAAACAATAACAGCGGATACTAAAACACAACAATAATAGCGGATACTAAAACACAACAATAACAGTGGATACTAAAACGCAACAATAACTGTGGATACTAAAAAACAACAATAACTGTGGATACTAAAACACAACAATAACAATGGATACTAAAACACAACAATAACTGTGGATACTAAAACACAACAATAACTGTGGATACTAAAAATCAACAATAACTGTGGATACTAAAACACAACAATAACAGTGGATATAAAAAATCAAAAATAACTGTGGATACTAAAACACAACAATAACTGTGGATACTAAAACACAACAATAACTGTGGATACTAAAAAACAACAATAACTGTGGATACTAAAAAACAACAATAACGGTGGATACTAAAACACAACAATAACTGTGGATACTAAAAAACAACAATAACTGTGGATACTAAAACACAACAATAACTGTGGATACTGAAAAACAACAATAACAGTGGATACTAAAAAACAACAATAACTGTGGATACTAAAAACCAACAATAACAATGGATACTAAAACACAACAATAACTGTGGATACTAAAACACAACAATAACAGCGGATA